AATAGTAAATAAAGGTGTGGATGGTGCCTAGATAAACACGGGCTAGCTCAGTGCCTCCTGGGTCCTGCTGACTAGATGCTTCTGTTGACTCTGAGTATGAACTGTGCACATGAGTGTGTTCAGGGCTTCAGGCTTCTGTGGCACTCAGCTGTGCTGTTAGTGGCCAACACTGCAGGTCTGAGGGCCCGTGATAGGTTCTCTAAGTCAAGAAGGCCCAGCCATTGGAGGAGAGTGTCAGCTATGGAGTGAGTCAGGCCTGGGTTCAAGTCTAGCTCAGCCTGGGACCATCCCACAGGGACCAAAGACCTTTCTCTACAGAATTATGAAGACTAGATAAGATCATGAGTCTGTGACCAAGCACAGTATTGGGTTGGCTGGATAAAGACTCTGACACAACCTGTCTCAGAGGTATGACTTGGGCCCACCAGCTCCTGTAGACAGACACACAGTCAAGACAGAATGGGAAGATCTCCACTTTCCACTTGATCCTAGTGAGACCTTGGACATGTGGCTCACCCTCTCTGGGCCGCCATTCCTTCACTTACAAGACAGGGACTATAATTCTCATTTTGCAGGGGTGTCCAGGGCTAAGGGAGGGTGACATCTTGGTGCAGAGTCCAGTATGGAGCCACAAGATAGGTGCTGTCTCCAAACCCCAATTCCTCTCAGCCCCTCAGGACTTATTCTAGCATATTCTCTCTCTCTCTCTCTCTCTCTCTCTCTCTCTCTCTCTCTCTTTGTAGCCGTAGTTCTCATTTTCCTTCAAAGGAACAAGACAAATTGGTTAGTCTATTCATGCCTTCCCAGACACAAGCAAGTTTTGTCTTGTTGAGCCTGTTTTCCCGACCTGTACCATGGAGTCTCTGCCAAAAGCAGCTGGTGACACAAGCCTGCTGAGATGGCAGATCAGTGACTGGCAGGTATGGAGCAATGGGATCCTCCAAGGGCTGTGGCTGGGGTGGGATGCTTTGCAGATTAGCTATCTATTGCTGCAGAGCAAGTGATCCAACACTCAGTGGCTTCAAATTACAACTATGCATTATTCCAGTTTCTACAGCTCAGGGACCCAGACAGGCTGGGAGCTCTACTTAGGAGGTTGCAGCCCAAGATGGGCTGGGGCTACAGTCACCCCAAGGCTCTCCTGGAGATGAGGATCTACTTCCAAGGGCACTAGTAGGCTGCAGAAGGCCCACGTGGAAGATCATGCACGCAGCTACTGTCAGGCTTTGGTTCCTCTCTGTGAGGGCTCCTGCCAGACTGCCTAGGTGTCTCTATGACAGGGCAGCTGGTGGGGTGTGTGTGTATGTGTGTGTGTGTGTGTGTGTGTGAGAGAGAGAGAGAGAGAGAGAGAGAGAGAGAGAGAGAGAGAGGCATAGGGACAGAAGCAGAGAGAGGGGAGAGTAGGGGTGGAGTGGAGGAGAAAACACAAATCAAATTCAGGACAGAAATCACAGATTCACAGGTGATCTTGGGTAGCCCTTTCACACAGGCCATGTTCTATTTATTACAATCAGGACACTTGATAAGACCCATTCTCAAGGGGAAGGTCCCACTATCTCTCTCAGGGCTCACAGGGACCAGTTTACAGACTGCCTGACTCTATGGGTGTAGGACTGGGAAGAACAGTGTACAACAGCTTTTTTTTTTTTTCCTATTCAATGGAAAGAGCTTGAACCCAAGTGCCAGCTCCTTGTGTCTTTCCCCTATCCACCTCCAATGACAGCCCTCCTTTCTCCATGAAATGAGGATACAGCCCAGACCAGTTGACCTCATAGGCTGTTGTGGATCATTGAGGATACATTCCGACGCAAAGCTTCCAAATAGGACCTGTCAGGTGGTGTGAGAATAGGGTTAGGATTCCCCTAAGGGAGCCCTGTGTGGGAACAGCAAAAATTCACCATAAAACCCCAAAGGATGCAACTAAGAACATGACACTCTGCACTCAAAGCCGCCCTTCTATCCAGACATGGGGGGCACCCTGGAATTCCAATGATTGGGAGGCAGGTGGATCTTAAGCTAGAGACTGGTATGGGTTACATAGTGGTGGCACACATCTTTAATCCCAGCACTCAGGAATCGAGGCAGGTGGATCTCTGTGACATTGAGGCCAGTCTGATCTACATAGTGAGTTCCAGGCCAGCTGGGGGTACAGAGAAACCTTCTCTCAAAACAAAAAACAAAAACCCACCACCAACAACAAAATCTCACCCTGATTGACTCCTAGCTGACGTGGGCAGGAAGGGAAGCATTTGTTTACTCACTGACTCATTCACAAATTTATCCATTTCTTGCCCACTCCTTCACTGAGCCACTCAGATGTTCAAGTGCCATTGTGATGAACAGGAACCATACTCTGAGGTAGTTATTATTAACTCCTCTGTACAGATAAAGATACCAAGGCTCAAAGAAGCAAACACAAAGAGAACACCTCTGTGAGCTCACACATCCTTCGATATAAAACCCTACCCTGTGCCCATAACAGGCACCTGCTGTTGCCCAACCTTCCTGGACAGGCTCGCTAGAACAATCCCAATTTATATGACAGCCTCACATACCTGTACACATAACCACACTGCCCTGGCTGGGTAGTAGGTGTGTTTTTTATAGCTCATTCTGTGTTTAATTTTATTTTAAAATGAGTTCCCAAGCTAAGCATGATGGCGCACACCTGAAATCCCTGGTTTGGGAGAAATGACTTAAGTTAGAGGCTATGTGGAGCTACTTAATGAGCTAAAGGCCAGCCAGGACTATACAACAAGACCCTGTCTCAACAACAAATAGTTTCCAACATTTTAAAAAATTAGATTTTTGAGGTTGGAATGTAGTTCACATGTACAGTGCTTGTCTAACATTCATTAAGCCCTGGGTTTGATCCCCTACACCATATAAATTGGGTGTGGTGATACATGTTTGTAATCCCAGCACTTGTCAGGTAGAGGCAGGAGGATCATCCTTGTTACCTAGCAAGTTCAAGGCCAGCTGGGCTACATGAGACCCTAATTCAAAAATACTTTTTTTTCTGATGAAACTTCAAGTGATCTGTTCTTACTGGACAAAGGGAAGGCCTGGCTTGCCGCCTTGCTCTCCTAGTCCCACCTACGACAGTGGGCTGGCCTGGCAAATGTTCCATCTAGCTGCAGCATGCCTCAGCCACTTGGACACCAGGCCTCCTCTGCTCGCTACCTGTCTTTACCAGCTGTAACTATTCACTTATGCCACCTGCCTGGCAACCATGGGCACCTGAGTTTGCCACCTTCAAACACGATTCTGAGCCCAGCCTCACCTGACTGCTCTTTAGCTCTGTGAGGCCCGATCTCAGCTGGGCCCAGTGTCCTCAAGGGCTAGGTATGTGTTCAGCCACAGTGTAGCTTAAGGATAGACCATCTCTTTTCCTGACATCACTGAGGACACACAGGTAGAGATGTGCAAAGAGCAGAATAGAGAAAAAGTGGGTTTCCCATGAGGCTACCAATTTTGGGACAGAGTCACAAGGAAAGAGGACACTCAGGAGGGTCAGGTGAGGTCCACCCTAGGTTAGGACCTAGGACCATGCCATTGGGATATATTGAATGCCCATCCCACTCCTAGGCTGAGAATACAGAGCAGGGGCTGTGAACCTCCAAAAAAGGGGTTAGGACGTCAGATGTATGAGGTAGGAACTGTGCCAAGACCTCACAGATTTGCTTGGGCCAGCTCCCATAAGCTGATTGTTGGACTGGGCAGGTAAGGCCCACGGGTTCCCAAGGTTCAGCCCCCCTACTTTTCTGAGCCCTTGCAGCTGATACTCCCCTTCCCCGACGATGATCTGAACTCTGCACCCTCAGTATTCAGTTTAGGCTTTGCCCATCACTGATAGTAATGGTACAGTACCCAACAGTTGACAAATGCTTCTCTCTTGTTTATTTTATCCCCCAAACAGGTGTAGGTAGAAGGCAGGGTAAGCTGCTTACAGTCTCCTTGCTGGAGGTCCAGGAGGAGTGGGGCATCAGGGTTCTCTAGTCCTGGCCATAGCTAGCCTCTCTCTGAGCCTCAGTTTCCCATCTGCAGAGCACAGGTGTTGGCCCAGGTGCCCTCAGGACCCTTACTGGCATTCATTAGCTTTAGGCCTCTCAAGCTGCTCAGAAACCTATCAAATGTGGGATTTAAACCCCTGACTGTAGTTCCCTTGCAGGAATCCCATCTGTATCTTGCTTTGTGAAATTTCCTGGCATCCCTTAAGAATGGTTACTGGGAAGTTACCTAGGTACAGTTGGCTAGGGTGTCTGCTCCAGGTGAGTGCTAGTGGAAGTACAGTCAGCACCTGCCTGGCCTGGATGGGAGTGGAGAAATGACCAGGGCTGTCAGTGTATGGGGAGCTGGGGAGGAGGAGTCAGTCCCAAGGGCTGGGAGCCTGGCTGAAGCATCATAGGGCAAGCTGTATTTCCTGTTAGAGGAGGGCTTGATCTCTAGAAGCAAATGGAGACAGGCCCAGCTGAGGAGCAGGAGCCTGAGGTCACCTTGTAGGTGAATCTGTTTATCTGTTTCCTCGTGTAGCCTTGCCCTCTTTAATCTAGCTCATCTCTCCCTCTCCACCTCTCTCTGACCCCCAGTACCAGTGTTTCTCTTGGTCTGTCTCTGCAGGGCCTATTGGGAAAAGGGGCAGCTTGGGTCCATTTGGCCTGGGCCTTAAATATGAAAAGGCAGTATAGTTTTAAAAAAAAAAAAGTGCAGATGCTCATATTTTGGAGTGAAACCGTCTTATTTTGCTTTCCTTTAAAGAAATATTGGTAGTCTTACAAAAATGGAGCTGGCATCTTTTTGCATAGTCCTGTCTGTCCCGCTGGGTCTCTAGTCCGGATCTCAAGCAGATTCAAAGGACTTCAGGCTCCGCGGCTGCACGAAGTCGCTGCGCTGCCCTCTGAAACCCGCAGGGGTCGCTAGCAGACAGGCCCTGAAGGGGCGGGGCGGGGCGAGGAGGGGGCGGGGCCCCGAAGTCAGCCGACCAATAAAAGCTGCAGCGCGTGGCCTCCGGCCTCCATCGCTTCCTGTGCTCTGGCGGCTCTGTCTACCCCGGGTTCCGTCTGCCTACTTGCCTCAGATCCGACTCTCGGCCGCGATGCTGGCGCTGCGCTGCGGCCCCCGCCTGCTTGGTCTGCTCTCCGGCCCGCGCTCCGCGCCGCTTCTTCTCTCCGCGGCACGCGCCTGCAGCAGCAGCAGCAGCAGCGGCGGAGCCCGCGACCCGAGCTCCTCCGGAAACCCACTCGTGTACTTGGATGTGGGCGCCGATGGGCAGCCGCTCGGCCGCGTGGTGCTGGAGGTGAGACCCCTCGACAAGACATGGCCGGTCTGGGCGTGGGGGATGATCGTGGGGCAGGTCTGGACCCCGGCCCAGCGCTGTGCCTGGCACACTGAGTGACCTTGGGCCTCCCACTTAGTTTCCCGGTCTCTGAGAAGGGGCATCTGCTTGGTCTGCTCCAGCCTTCTTCCGAACCGTGGGGTTGTGGAGGCCAGAGAGGGACTGGGGTAGAGGAAAAGGTCAAGATCAGATCGCACAGGGTGGCGGTCATGGTCGAGGCAAGACTTCCGAGGACCTCTGGGTCGGCTGGACCCGGCGGCTTACGTGGGTGTCTGGGGGGAGGGGCCCGGAGTTGGGAGGCAGGTGGCGGCAGTCACTCATGTGGTGTCCCGAGTTCCATGCAGAGTGGGCTCCGGACCCGCCCCCATGGCCAGGCTTCGTGCAGGGCGCTGGGGGACGGAGGCGAGAAGGTGCTTTGGGGCGACCAGCCTCCTCTCTGGGCAGAACGCCAGGCAGGCCACAGGCACCACCAGGATGGCCTTCATGCCACTGGGAGCTCAACCCCTTTCCGGGTCGACCAGCGTCTGTTACTTTCTTTAGACCCTTGAAAAAAAAAAATCAAAGTAACTGGCAAGCCCTAGTGCGGCCTTAAAGCTGAAACAAAGGGGCCAATTAGTGTTGACTGACCTGTATAGGGGAGCTGGTACTTTTTTGTTATGCCTCCGTTTTCTCTTTTGGAAAATGGAGAGCACCATCCCGGGGGTGGGCAAAGGGGCCAATTAGTGTATAAGGGAGCTGGTACTTTTTTGTTATGCCTCCGTTTTCTCTTTTGGAAAATGGAGAGCACCATCCCGGGGGTGGGGGGTGCGGGTGGGAGCATTTGGTGGAGGGAGACTGGCTTGGATAGGACTGAAACATTTTCCATGCCCCATCCTCTGGGAACCTGTTTCCTGTATTCATTCAGGAGCTCCAACCGGTTCTTCAAGGTCCCGTGTCTCATGCTTAGGGGCCCCTCTGTCAGTTCTACAGGGAAGTGTGCCTGGGGTAGCACTGGTCTCTTCTGATAGGAAACAGGCTGCTTCTGACCAACCTTGGGTTTAGTTAGGAAGCAGCTGTCAGAAGCGATAGCTGCTTGGGCTGTCCCTGGGAGGGTTGACGGTCCCAGGGGTGAAATGGTCTTCTAGTTCTTGCTCCCTTGGCCACTTCGGATGTGAGTGATAAGGAGGCTCCTTCCTGTACCGCCTCTGGACTGACCATCTCCCCTCTTTCCTCCTTACAGCTGAAGGCAGATGTTGTGCCAAAGACAGCCGGTAAGGCAGAGTTGGGAAGTGGGCAGGGCAAACCTGGTGGGCTTGAGGGAGGAGTTAGGACTCAGAAACTATGACAGCATAGGAGTTCACTGGAAGCTCAGCTGCTGGGTGCCCTAGGCAACCGTCTGTCTCTCTCTGGCCCTGGATGTCAGCTCTGCTCACCTGTCTGGCAGTAGCTGGATACCTCAGACCAGGGGAAGTCCCATGTGAATTCCCAGAAGTGGCTTCCTCCCCCTGCTGCCCGGTGGGGCAGGGCTGGGCACAGTCCTTGAGCTCTGCCCTGTTACCTAGGAACTTGCACTCTAGTCACAGTGTTTGGTACTGGGGTTAAGGTAGGAAAGTGAGTTGTCTTGATCACACGGTGATCAGGAATGGACCCAGCTCACCTGGGGGGTTGGTCAAGGAGAGACTGGTTGGAGTCGGGGGCTGCTCTTAACCCTCCTTTCCATCTTTCAGAGAACTTCAGAGCTCTGTGCACTGGTGAGAAGGGTTTTGGTTACAAAGGCTCCACCTTCCACAGGGTGATCCCTGCCTTCATGTGCCAGGTAACAGTAACGTGGCCTCTGTGTCTGGTTCTCCTCTGCTGTGAGTAGTGGTAACAGTGGAGCTACCCAGGGAGTGGTTAGGGACACTGATAAGCAAGCAGGGGGCTGGGGCGTGGAGAAGACACAGCAGAGTACTGTTGGGAGTGGACTTTTGGAAAGACCATTAGAGTCAGGTAGTCTTTGATCTTGTCACTGGGCATGGTAGGGGAGGAGAGAGAGAGAGACAGGAAAAGTTGGCTAAGTGGGGAATGCATGTGCCTGGACTTGGAGATGCCTTTGCCAGTGAAGGACATTTTCTCGGTTAAATGAGCACGTTCTGTAGTTATTTGTTCTTCCCATTTTTCAAGCATGTAAGCATTGCTGAAGCAGGTTTGGGGATAAGTGTTGGCAGGGAGAATTTCCTGGGGCCAGGAGAGCCTAGAGATATAGGCACGATGTCATGGCCTCTCTGACGTCCTTTCTGCCCAGATTCTCTCTGTTCCCTCCACTCTGACCGAGTGACAGTGTGTTAGGGCTGGGCCTGCTCCCACCCTGTAGTTACTGGTTACAGTACACATTGGATGAGACAAAGTGAAGTGGGGAATAGGCAGGGCTGTGGCAGTGGCTATAGCTGGACTCTTTCTGCCACAGAGCCTCCCAGCTCAGCTTGTTCTTGGGCTGGTGGATGAGGTAGGAGCTGAAGTAGACATCTGGAGTCAGGAAGGGATTTTCAGATTGAGAGAGCTCTGTGTAGCTTGGAGTGGGTGACCCTTGGAGGTACAGGCAGGGTGCCTGAAGACACCTTCTTAGCATCTGTAGATGCTTTAGCTGGACTCCACAGGTCATGCCTCTCACTGGAGGAGCCTGTCTCGGGAAAATCACGATGTGGTCATGGCCAACAACTGGGCACATTACAACCACCAGGCTTTTCTGCGCAAGAACCCCATGGAAGCCCCGCCTAGTCCGCTTAGACCTTAGGCAGGCTCTAAGGAAGAGTTCCAGTTTTGGTGGGACCTGTCCTGTGTTTATAAACTTCAGAACCTTTGGGTTTGGGGAGGATGGTGTCAGAGCAGGGAGATGACTTAGCTTGGGGAACTGGTCTGTTCCTCCAGCTCAGTGCTGGAAACAGGGCCTCAGGTCACCTGCTGGTGGTCTTTTTCAGAGTTGTGGGTTGAAATTCTGGGATTACTAAGAAGTACCTCAGAACAGATCCTTCAAGGATTACTGAAAAACTTGCCCAGACCAAGAAATCAGAGTTGTTATTACTACATCAGATCTATAAACCTGGTTTTTATCACTGGATTATTATTGGTCTCTTTGCATGAGGGTGGGCCTCAGGTGGCTTGGGGGCTGCCCTCACTGCTCCTCTCTTAGCTCTGTGGTGACCACTCACGAGGTGTTCTATACATAGGCTGGCGACTTCACCAACCACAATGGCACGGGAGGGAAGTCCATCTACGGAAGCCGGTTTCCTGATGAGAACTTCACGCTGAAGCACGTGGGGCCAGGTGCGTAGGGCCCTCACTAGTGGTCTCTGCAGTTTTATCCTGTCCGTATACTGCCATACTTGGCTGCCTTGGGAAACTGTGGTCTCCAGTTGCCCAGCATCCCTTCTTGTTCCTTTAGTGTCCGGGAGGCTCAGCTAGCTTGCCAGCTTTCCCTAGAGCATTCTCATTCTGAGCTCTGTTTAGAAACCAGACGTCTAAATGTAATCCTAGTACTTGGGAGCCTAGGACAGAAGAATCTGGAGGTTGAGGTCAGCCTTAGCCACACAGCAAGTTTAAGGTTAGCCTGGGTTACCTATTGAGACACTGTCCCAACATACAAAACCAGACAGTTTTCCCTATGGGAAATTGGTTGGGGAGCCTTTAGGCAGAACCCAAGGTGGAATGTGGGAAAGTTTAGAGGTCAGGTGCGGGGTTCTGCTCAGTTCACTCACTGAGAGCTTCCTCAAGGATGCTCCATTCAGAACCAGCAGGCAGTGAAGGCAGACAAGCTCTGGTTGGACGTCAGCCCTGAACCTCTGAGCCCAGGATCTGCAGACTCACATGGCTCACCTCTGCTTGTCCTATAGGCGTCCTGTCCATGGCGAATGCAGGCCCCAACACCAACGGTTCCCAGTTCTTCATCTGCACCATAAAGACAGACTGGTGAGTAGTCCCCATTCCAGGCACTCTGGGAATGAGGCTGGAGGAGGTTCTAGCATGCTCAGGAAGGCAGTGTGCAGCTAGACCATCTGCTCTGGGCCAGTGGCCTCCTGCTCACTGTGTCTCTGTATGAGTTAGTGAAAGGATAGTTTGGGTTGTTCTGTGACTATGTCACACTTAGGATTCCCATTGGTGCTATTAGATGAAATTTGTTTTGTGTTACACGTGTGTGTATGTACAGAGAGGGGGGGTGTTCCTCTATCCTAAGTGGCCTCACAGTGGCCTGAGGAGAAGCCAGTTCATTTGCTTTAACTTGACATTTGCCTGGCTCATCTCCACCACAGGATGAGCATGGAAAATGCTGGGTTTCCTCACTCCATTTGCACAGCCTGCAGATGGCTCCCAGCCTCTCACAACCGTCTTTCCCATGGGCCCCACTGGCTAGGAATGTCTTGTCCCTGGTCAAATTTCCACTAATTTTAAGTTTCTCTGCACAGAGGCCCCAGTGTCCCAGCCCTCAGGTACCTGGGCTTTTAAGGACAGCCACTGACTAAGAACCAAAACTTCATAAAGCCCATCTCCAGGATTTTAGGAAAACCTAAGTGATGGGGTGACATTTGCTGGCCTCTACCTTCTAAGCCACAAGGGGCCATCAGGGTTGGGCAGGTTGTTTCTGACCCTATCTTTGCTTCTTCCATGGAGCCCCTTAATGGATCTTGCAGTTCTGCCCTTGGCCATCCCCACTGTTGGCTTTGCAGGAGCTGAGCTAAGTGTCTTTGACATCCTTGGAATGATCAAGCGCTGCTCAGCACTTCATGTTTCTCACACTTGTCTTGGCTCTCATTTCACGGCTGCTAAAATAACTCGATTTGTACAGATGTCCTGCTTCCTCAGAGCAGCTCTGTGCCCATCATCTCCCTCGGCAGAATGAGAGTAGCTTACTTGTAATAGGCGAGGTCACTAAGATTCAAATTGCACTGCCAGGACAAAGCCCAGGGTAGCAGAACATGTCCTGGGAGCCCAGCATCCTCTGGGGTGCTGTTGGGGAGCTCAGCAAGGCTTGATCAAGCTTGTTGGGGGGATAGGAGTGGGAGGGGGTCCTTTCAGAATTAGCGTTTTTGGTAAATAATTCCATATCCAAGTGGCAAGGATGCCAGGTGACTGATTCTTCTCCCGTGTTTTCTCATCCTGCTCACCCCTCACAGGCTGGATGGCAAGCATGTTGTGTTCGGCCACGTCAAAGAGGGCATGGATGTCGTGAAGAAAATCGAGTCTTTTGGCTCAAAGAGTGGAAAGACATCTAAGAAGATTGTCATCACGGACTGTGGCCAGTTGAGCTAACCCGTGGCCAGGGTGCTAGGATGGTAGCAGCCCACCCACGTGTTGACTCACCCAGGGCCTCTGAGCTTTCCTGAAGAACTATCTGTGCCCATGTTCCCTAGTGAGCATGAGGAAGGCTTCCCTGGAACACTGTCCTTTGCAGGACCCAGCAGGCTGCACCCAGCGTCCTCCCTTCCTCCTGGTCCTGTTTTGGAGCATCAGTGCGGCCACGGGCTACACCCCCCTCAACGAGTGTTCCCTGTGATTGACTAGCCTTCATTCATGTGTGCCTTGGACCTTGGCATTGGTAATGGTTAGCATCCAGGGAAGGACTCTGCCCTTTTCATTGACCAGTGGGGACAACGGTTGCTGTTTAATGTTGTCTTCCTCTTTGCAATAATCTCCTGTATGAGATTGGTAGACATGAAGCTGTGACGTTAACTGCACCGTGCTGTGTGTGACTTGAGTTGGCACAGGCCACTCCCCCAAGGCTTCTGAAACATCACTCAGGGCTTTTGTGAAAATTCCCAAGACCAGTAACCCCTGGTTATTGTGAATCCTGCTGGTTCCCTGCTGTCATTTTTAAAGAGAGCCTGTAGAGTAGAAGCAGTTGGACCTGGGAACAAACCTCCTGCAAGCTAGGTCTGCTCAATGTGAATTCCTGTGTTGGAAATGGCCCTGTGCTCAGGAGTAAAGCACCCTGGTGGACTTTGTTTTTTCTGTGTTGAATAAATCCAATCTATTGATATATGTAAAAGATTTCTGGAATATTCATTTGTTCACCTTAAATTTATTACCTTAAATGTGATAATAAATCTTATTTTCTATAAAACTGGTATCTGGAGCCATCTTTCTTTCTAGAATACAAATTTTCTTTTTTTTTTTTTTTCATTTTATTATTTTAATTTTATGTGTAGAAGTGTATTGCCTGCATGTAGGTAAGTGCACCCGTGTCGTGCAGTGCCCACGGAGGACAGAAGCAGCTGTCAGATCCCCTGGAACTGGAGTTACAGAGTTGTTAGCTGACATGTGGGTGCTGGGATTTGAACCCTGGTCTTCTGCAAGAACAACCAGTGTTCTTAACTGCTGAGCCATCTCTCCAGCCCCTGGAACCATTTTTTTTTTTAAAGACAGGGTCTTGCCATGGACCCTGGGCTAGCATCAAACTCCTGTTTCAGCCTCTTGAAGACACCATTGTGTCCAGCTGGAGCTAAGTTTTGTTGAGTTACCATGTTTAAGGTTCTATGCTATGGTCTGGTTTTCTGTTTTTGTTTACAGTGCTAGGTGTGGACGCGGCCTATGCTTGCAAAGTAAGCACTATCTCTGGGCCACACCTTCAGCTCTATGCTAAGTAATTTTGTGTGAACCATCTCAGCCCAGAGACCATTAAAAACATCCTTGTAGCCATCTCTGCTGTAGAGATGAAGTAAATCCTAGACAGATAACCTTGGCATCCACTGCCCCCCGCCCCATGAGCACCGCCTCCACCTTGAGCCCCAGTTCTGCTCAGTGACCAAGTTTCAGTTTCCCTCAACTGTATAACTGCATGACACAATGTGGTGGTAGGATTGGGTGTGATCCATGTCAGGTGTGTGGCACTATGCCTGGCATGTCATAATAAGTGTTGAGCCATGACATTTCTCATGTATCAGGTCTTTAGGAAAGGAAACTTGCCTAAGTAAGGAGCTGTGATCACCTCACGTACAGGGTGGGCTTTACTGACCTTGCTGGGCCATTGAAATTTGGAATACTGAATGTTGCTGATTTCCAGGGAGCAGGATTGGGGTGGGAGGATGAACAAGAATTTCCTTAGAGAAAGGATTTGGACTCTGGTTGGGGTGACTAATACAATTATTTCACCTGGGATTTCTGAGGCAGCTTGTGTGTGGTCACAGGTGGGCCTTTATCATTCCAAGATCATGGTGGTTGGATTAAGTCCTTCAGAGAGTTTCCATGGAGTCAGAGTTTAGCTTCGTGGGTTGAGAGCTCAGCAAATGTTTCAATTCTAAGAGCCTTGGGGGACCTCAGTGTAGAGCAGGATGGGTAATGGTGTGGGCCCTGGGGCCTACATCCATTTGTAGATATTTTCCAATTTTTCTTACGTTGGGCCTGTCAAGAGATTTCCTTTGCGAAGTGGGATCTGAGCCAAATGACATACTGGCTCATACAGTCCAACAGTTTACGAGTAAACTGAGGCACAGGCAGGATTGTGATTGATCCAGATAACACTCTCAGTCAGCTGGAGTCGAGCAGAACCCAGGGTTCTTGGCAGTACAGAATGTACAGGCTTTTAGTGATTGTCACCAAAGTCTTCAAGTCATGCAAGGGCCCAAGTACTCCCTACTTTCCTTTCCTTTCCTTCCTTCCTTCCTTCCTTCCTTCCTTCCTTCTTTTTTATTTATTATTTTTTGTCTTTTTGAGACAGGGTCTCCCTGTAGCTCCAGCTGGCCTGGAACTCACAGAGATCCTCCTGCCTCTGCCTCTTGAGTGCTGGGATTAAAGGCGTTGTGCCACCACACGTGGCTTCCACCCTTTTTTTTAAACTTTAAACTTTATTTTTAGACAAGGTGTTTCTAAGTTGCCCACACTGGCCTTGAACTTGCTTTGTATCCCAAGTAGGCTTTGAGCTTCTGATTCCTCTGCCTTAGTTTCTTGAAGAGCTGAGATTATAGGCCTGTGCCCAGATCTTGTATTTTTAAACGATACACTATAAAAAGTTAAGTGTTTTAAAACATCCATTCGCTTTAAACTATGTATTTACTTATATTTATGTATTTTTTTTTCTGGTGCTGGAGACTGAACCCAGGGCCTTGCCCATGTTGGTGAGTGGTCTGCACCGAGCTGCACCACCAGCCGAGAGCCCAGCTGAGCTCTCAGGTCAAAGTTGGGCTGTTTCTGCCTCTGGAGTTGCCTATTGACTGGGCCACTCCAGGTACCACTGACAAGTTTAAGGGACAGCGGTGACTGCAGAATGTGTTAATTTCTGAGAGGTTTGTAGAGCCAGGGGCTGGAAGGATTTGCACTTCTTTCAGAATGAGGAGGGTGTGTGTGGTGTGTCTCCATCCAGCAGAATCTGGGGGTACAGCAAACAGGCAAGAAGTTTCCAGGAACGGCTCCCTGAAGGCATATGCAGGGCTGTTCTCTGCCGGTCTCCCGGCACACTGCACAGAGGCCAGAGCCAGGTTTCATTTCTGTGTGCAGTCAGATCTTAAATAACATTCAGAGGAAACCTGGCTTGCTGCTGACCAGTGAACCCTCAGTACTTAATTGTACATGAAGTGGTGAGCTCTGGGTGTGTTTCCCAGGTGCCATCAGATGTGACACTGTACATATTTTCAAAAGTTTGAGGCATGTGCTAGCTCTTCAGAATGACTTCACTGAGGTAAAATTTGCATGCAATAAAATTCACACATTTTCCAGTCATGGTGGTATACACATTTAATCCTACCAGTGAAGAGGCAGATGCAGGGGGAGTCAGGGAAATACTGTATTCTTTTGTGATAAAAAGAAAACCTGGGCTGATAAGATGACTTAGTGGGTAAAGCTGCTTGCCATCAAGACTGATGACTTAGGTTTGATCCCTGGGATCCACATGGTGGAAGAAAACTGACCTCCACGCATGTGAAAAATGGCCAGTAAGCACATGAAAAGACACTAGACATCAATGAAGCCAGGTGTGATGGCATGCACCTTTAATCCCAGCACTTGGGAGACAAAGGCAGGCAGACCTCTATGAGTTCAAAGCCAGCCTGGACTACAGAAGGAGTTCCAGGCTGGCCAACTACGTAGTGAGACCCTGTGTCAAAGAAACAAGCAAATAAAACCCACAGTGATATACTACTTCACATCTACTAGGATGGGTACTATAAAAAGGTCAGATAATAAGTGTTTGCCGGGAAGTGGAGAAGTTCTAACCTATATGCACTGATAGAGTATAACATGATCCAACTGCTTTGGAAAACAGCCTGACCGTTCCTCAGGTGATGAAACAGTCACCATGTGACCCAGTAGTTACATTCCTGGATATATGCCCTAGAGAAACGAAAGCACATATCCATACAAAAAATTCTGCGTGTGTTTATAACCACTGTTAACAATAATCCCAAGGTAAAAACAACCTACCAACCTAAATGTCCATCAGTGGACAGAGGAACACATACAATGTGATATATCTGTACAATGGCATATTGTTTGGCTATAAGAAGGGATGAAATACAGATGACGACTACCTGGGTGAACCTTGAAACAGTCTACTAAATGAAAGTACCACATACTGTCTGATTCCGTTCATAAGAAATGACCAGGACAGGGAAATCCACAGAGGCAGAAAGTGGATTAGTGGGTGCTCAGGGCTGGAGGGGGCACTGGGGCTGTGTCAGTGGGTGACAGCTGAAGTGCATGAGACCTCTTTCTTTTTAGACAGAGTCTCCCTGTAGCCCCAGCCAGCCTGGAACTCACTATGTAGACCAGGCTGGCCTCCATCTGCCTGCCTCTGCCTCCCAAGTACTTAGACTAAAGATGTGTACCACCACACCCAGCTGAGACCTCTTTTTAAAAAAATTTTATTTTACTTTCACTTATGTGTGTATGAGCACATATCCATATGAGTTGTGAGTGCCCTCAGAGGCCAAGAAGGTAGGTGTCAGATCCCCAGGCGCTGGAGTTACAGGCATTTGTGAGCCACCTGGCATGGGTGCTGGGAACTGAACTCAGGTCCTCTGCAAGAGCAGCAATGCTCTTAGCCACTGAGCCATCTCTCTAGCCCCTGTATGAGGTCTTGTTATGAAATGATGAAATTTTTCAAAAATTAACTCTGGGCACAGTTGTACACGATTGTGATCATACTGACAGTTTTATGTGTGAAGCTTATGGAATATGAATTGTATCTTACTATCTTCTTAGAAATATCTATTAGCAGTCTTGGAGCTTGGCATCGTGGTGCATGCCTTTAATCCCAGCACTCAGGAGGTAGAGGCAGATGGATCTTTGTGAGTTCAAGGCCAGCTGGGGCTCTAGGGAGACCCTGTCTCAAAAAGAGCCCCCCTGCAAAATGATATTTTTATTATTTTACTTTATATGTGTGTGTGCACTGTGTGTGTGCGTGTGTGTGTGCATGTGTGTGTGTGCACCATGTGTGTGCAGGTGCTCTTAGAGGCCAGAGAGTGTGTTGGATCCCATGGAACTGGAGTTACAAGTTGTTGTAGACTGCCCTGATGTGAGTACTGGGAGCTCAACCAGTTACCATGGTATTTTTCCACAGAGCAATCATAGATGGGGAAGACGTAGATGGGGAAGCTGATTCTACCACAAGGGAGGAACAGTTGCTTGAGGACTGAAGTGGTTGGTTTCATGTGTGCCCATTCCAAATTTCAGGGTCTCATTCTTTATGCCCTTTCACATGAAAAACTTGATGAGACAGGGAATTCAAATGGTATTTTGATTCACCCACACAATTAAGTTTTTGTTTCACGTTAAGTGATATCAGCCCAGTGTGTACCAGAAATGAGAGTCATTTAGAGTTACGGAAGACTTCAGGTCCTCAGTCTGTAACTTACACTGAGAATCACACATTTCACGTTTCATTTTTTTCTGGTAAGAAATCAAGCACATGCTCAAAGGAATTCACTCCCTCATAGTCTTTCTGGTCATCATTTCTGTCATATGATCAAGTGCCACAGCCACCTGGCTTCTCAAGGCACATCCTTTCATCACTTAATCACAGGGGACCACATGATTGATGGCGATGTCACTGCATGCCCTGGATTGCTGACATACCACTTCCTGATGGCAGGTAGTCCAGCTCTGCCTCCAAGTCCAAAGGCATAGCCAAACAAAC